AGAGAGGAGTTTAGCAAATTTCCCTTGAAAAATGAGTTCATCTATCACTTATGATGGCTCGAGGTGTCCCGAACCGAGAGAACATCTGCTTTAGAAATGAGCATATCTGTCTTTCATCATTGGTGGTCATGGCTTGAGCTTTTGCCCACCTCGAGACGTAGTCTACCGCAAACAGTATGTACATATTACCAAAGATGGAGGGAATGGCCCCATGAAATCGATGCCCCAGATATAAAAAATTTCACAAATGACAGATATATGTTGGGGCATCTCATCCCGGGGAGAAATGTTACCTGCCATCTGGAAGCGGTCGCACTGTCGTGCGAAGTTATCTCCATCCTTTAAGAGTGAGGGTCAGGAGAAGCCTGTCTGTAGCACCTTCTGTACTGTACGGTTTCCTCCATGGTGACTGCCGGTAGGTCCCTCATGACATTGAGACAGGATGTCTCTCATCTCGTGCTCCATAACGCAGCACCGGATCACGCCATCAGCTCTGATCCTGAAGAGGTATGGATCCTCCCAGAAATAGTGCTTCAGGTCGAAGAAGAACTTGTGCTTAGCGTGAGTAGCCATCCCCTTCAGTAACTGCCTGCCCACCATATAATTTGCAAGATCAGAATACCAAAGAGTGACACTCTCCACCAGGCATAGTGCCAGCAAGTGCTCGTCCGGGAAGGAGTCGTTGTTCTCTTCCACAAAATTGTCTGCCAGAGAGGCTTCCAATTGTGAATGATGATCTGCAGCAACATTCTCGGCTACCTTTTTGTCCCGAATCTCAATATCAAACTCCTGCAACAGCAGGATCCACCAGATGAGCCTAGGCTTTGCATCAGCCTTGCTCATCAGATAGCGAATGGCAGAGTGATCTATGTAGAACACTAAGTGGGAGAGCACCAAGTAAGTTCGGAACTTGTCGAATGCATACACCACAACGACCAACTCCTTCTCAGTGGTGGTGTAGTTCTCCTGTGCATCGTTCAGGGTCTTTGACGTGTAGTAGATGGGATGGAAGTGTTTCTCACGTCGCTGACCCAGAATGGCTCCAACTACATAGTCACTCGCATCACACATCATCTCAAAGGGAAGAGTAGTCAATTATTGACGGGAGAAGAAGCTACTCTCACTTGTTATGATGGGTGCATGGGTAACCTTCTCCTTCAAGGTCTCAAATGCATCTGTGCACTCTGGAGTGAAATGAAATGGTGCATCCTTCTCCCGCAGCTTGGTCAAAGGCAAGGCTATCTTCAAGAAATCTTTAATAAAACGCTGGTAGAAAGCTGCGGATCCCCTTCATAGAAACGGGAGGATGTAGCTTACTGATTGTCTCAATCTTCGCGCGATCCACCTCAATCCCCTGCTTGGAGATCTTGTGCCCGAGCACAATCCCCTCACGAACCACAAAATGGCACTTCTCCCAGCTGAGTGCCAAATTAGTCTCCTCGCACCTCTTCAGGACAAGTTCCAGGTTATGGAGATAGTGAGCAAATGAGTCTCCATAAACCGAGAAGTCATCCATGAAGACTTCCATGATTTCTCCAACCAGTCGGTCGAAGATCGCCAACATACATCGTTGGAAGGTCGCCGGTGCATTACAGAGCCCGAATGGAATCCTCCGGTATGCAAAAGTACCAAAGGGGCAAGTGAATGTGGTATTCGCCTGATCCTCTGGCGCGATGGGAATTTGGAAATACCCGGACATGCTCTCCAGAAAGCAGTAGAACTCATGGCCAGCCAACCTCTCCAGCATCTGATCAATGAAAGGTAGCGGAAAATGGTTCTTCTTGATGGTGTCGTTCAGGTGCCAGTAGTCGATGCGACTTGCCAGCCACTCACGGTTCGCATCGGGATCAAATCGTTCTTCTCATTCGGGACCATAGTCATGCTGCCTTTCTTTGGAACCATCTGAGTGGGACTGACCCACTTACTATCAGATATAGCAAAGATGATCCATGAATCCATCAACTTCCCGATCTCTGCTCGGACCACTGCCTCCAAGTTAGGAGTCAATCTCCGCTGCGGCTGCCTGACTAGCTTAACCTCACCCTCCATCAGAATTCGATGGGAGCAGAAGGATGAACTAATGCCATGGCTCGGACATACTTCTTCAGCAGAGCCACCAGACTGCTCTTTTGCGCGGGGGACAGTTCCGAACTGATGATTACCGGGAGCTTATTCCCCTCCTGAAGAAACACGTACTTCAGGTGAGAAGGGAGGGTCTTAAACTCCAGCTCTGGTGGCTCCTCCAATGATGTGGCGATCCGGGGCGAGATAGAGATCATCTTGAATGGCTTCTTACGCCCATCGGTTGCAGCTCCCTCTAGTTTTGCGAGCTGCTCCTCCAACTGCAACTCATGCGATGCCTGTTCCCCTTGCAAAAGACAATGCTCGAGGAAATCATCAGTACCCGCACTCGTGATGGCAAGTGCGACTCAAAATTAGCAATAACACAGCCGGGAACTCATGCCATGAACTGGGCTCGATCTCAGTTTAAAGAGCCAGCTGAAAGGAAGAAGAAAAGGGAGAGACCTGGTGTGAGAAGCTTCTTCTTCTTCTTCTTCTTCTTCTTCTTCTTCTTCTTCTTCTTCTTCTTCTTCTTCTTCTTCTTCTTCTTCTTCTTCTTCTTCTTCTTCTTCTTCTTCTTCAGATTTTAGAGTGAGAAAGTGACGAACCAAAGAAGAGGAGAAGCTAGGGTTTCATCTCCAAGAAAGGATTTGGGAATTCCTCCCCCAAAGGAGGATCTCTTCAATACAAGGAGCAAGGCTTGCATCTTCTTGTTGGTTTTCCTTTCCCTCTCTTGTGTTTCCCCTTCTCCTAGCATGGAGTAGTCCCTTCACTTGGGTGTTTGTAAACCTTAGCTACAATTATGTGAATGCTTGCATGAATTGAATGATTTTGTGTGTGGTTGTGTTTAATGTGAATATGGAGGTATTATTCATGAATGATTGTGTTGTGTGAAAGCTTATCAATCTAATTGCCATTCTAACCTAGGTAGAGAGAAAACCCCCTTCCTTTCTTTGAAAGAGGCTTGAATGTTGGGTTTTCCTGGGTGATTCGTTGTCTCTTAGTTAGGTTAATGCAGAGCAAACCTCTTATTTCGTAATAGCACTTAGGGTTTGGTTGTGGGTGGCCGTCCGAACTCCAATTCGAGGGTGAAGTCTAACCATTCCTTAGTTAATAGGTTTAGAGGGTCACATTAGTGGCTTGGATAGTATCTCATTTCCTCAACCTAGAGACTAAGAGGGTAACTTAGGCTACTTGTTGGACAACCATTCCTTAGTCAATAGGTTGAGAGGGTCGCATTAGCGGCTTGGATCGTATCTTATTTCCTCAACATAGAGACTAAGAGGGTAGCTTTGGCTACTTGTTGGACAACCGTTCCTTACACAATAGGTCGAGAGGGTCGCATTAGCGGTTTGGATCATATCCCATTTCCTCGTCCTAGAGATTAAGAGGGTAGCCTTGGTTACTTGTTAGACTTCCCTGCGGTTTATGACCCCCTAACCACACACGGTCATTCGATTCTTTCAAGTTTGTTAGCTAGGGGGAGCAACACCCGGGTGAAGCCTTCTCAATTAGTGTCAAATCCATTTTACCTTTGAAAAGTAATTTAGCTTTAGACCTTTGTTTTCACCAAAACTAATCCGCTAGATAATGTTTCAAACAATCGAAGTAGCAGTACATGGGCCGGTCCGGGTCGATATTTAAACATACTTGCTCTATATTGCACCCATCTAAGGTTTATACTTGGACCTTAGGTGAGATTTTATTGTGATAGTCAGAGCGAGTAAGTCATAAACGATTTCTCAAACCATTGGACGAAGAAGGTGAATTCTAAATATTTGTGTAAGACTGGTTAGTAGGAGTCGACACAATTAAGAGAGGGATCACGATTCTTTATATTCGATGAGTAAGGATTACAAAGGAGGAGAAGGGAGAATATCTAGAGAGAATGAGCATACAAAGATCACTAGGGTGAGAAAATCCAACCCCTTTCTTAGTAGAGTAAATGTTGCATTTACTCCACTGATTAGGTAAGCAATTAATGCGACAAGACTGGTGTGCCAGAGCAGGTGCGCGGGTTCCCAAAGTGGCTCTTCCGCGGCGGGAGTGTGTAGCCTTTTGCGGTAGGATGAGCAGCCGCGCATGTGGCCGAATGAGCGTGGTAATAACATGGTGTGTACGCGCTAGGGGATTGGTATGACAATGATTAGCGCTCTAGATAGCGCTTCCACTAACACTAAATCTAATGGTACTACGACGTTTCGCACGCTATGGTTGGGCCGGAGTTACGTCTCCCAAGTCTGTACATGGACGTTGGGCCGTGCTTGAGCCGGCATGGCAAGGGCACGCTTCAAGCACATTTATTTCTTGCCGTGCTTGGCACTGCCCGTTAGTTTTCGTGTCGTGCCGTGCAAGCCGTTTTGTTAACATTGCTAGGCTCGGGCCAGGCTTGGGCACGGTTCAAATCGTGTCATGCCTATTCGTGCTCGTGCCGTGCTCGTATTCGTGTTTAATGAAAAAGAAGAAAATAAAAGAGAGAATGGAAAAAAGGAGAAAATTGGGCGGAGAAAGATAGTATTACCCGAGAATGTTTGAGAAAAGTAACAAATAAGGGGAAAAAGAAAATTGGAAGTATAGCGGTGTGATTTGGCTTTGTTTAATTCCTGGTCTGTTTTAACTTAATGTAGTAATTACGTATATATCTTTATAACACTTCTAAAAACAACAAATAATTATTTTTTTATTTGTATTTTGTAATATTTGAACCAATAGTTTTTTCTATATTTATTTTCTATCAAATAAATATTATTTTCATGCAATGACTGTTCTTATACTCAATAAAGTCTTGAAAACATTAGGCCGACAAGACCCACTTATACATCGTGATCGTGAGTCGTGCCCATAAAATTTAGACCTGACACGATCTATAAATTATCCGTGCTCGTGCCGGACAGACCTATATATTTGATGTCCATTCTCGTGCCCATGCTGGTGCCGTGCTCTAACCGTGTGCGGTGTGCCGTGCTAGCCCGCTGCACATACACTAAGTCCCAAGTCCAAAACAGGAAGAAGATATTCCTGACCACCCACTCTCTGCATCTGTGTTTGAATCGTCGATGGGAATGCCTTTCGCCCTGAGGCTATCGTTTCCTGCCTTTGCATTTGAATCGTCGACGACCAGCGGCAGGTGGAGAGCTCGTCGTTTCCCGTTCCGTTTCCTCTCTTCCCCCCTACAGTCCAATCCTCAGGATCCCGCAGAAGAAGAAGAAAACTTCGGGAAAGAGAGGTGAGTGAAAGAACTGCGAACGCTTCTTCTTCGTACGGTCCTTGCTCAGATTGATGTAAACTTTGAGTTATTCGGTATGGAGTAAAGCAGACGCTAGATATCTCACTGTTTACTTATTGCGGCGTTTTCCTTACTACTACAATAGCGTTCGTCGCCGGAAACAGTCGATTTTAGTGGAGAGATACAGCAATGGAGCTATCAAAAGGTAAGTTGCTCAAATTAGCTATATAATAATTATCTGTTCCTGTTTGGTATACTCTGGTGGAATAGGATTTTCGGATTTTATTTTTTTTCTTTGGAATCATCAGATACATTTTGGATGATGAAGTAGGAGTAAGAATCTCTCTCACAGAAGATGTGGCCAATAATAATTTTGGAGCCCTAGACTCGTCTGTGCCTGAGACAAAACGACCATCGGTGCTTCCTCAGTTTGTCGCCGATTTTGTTCTACCTGCTGGCTTTCCAGGTGCACAGCGTTCTCTTAGATTCCCTTCATTTTGGTTGCCCTTTGTGTTCTTCTTTTGTTTTCATCCTGTATTTGTTTCTTTCCTTCAACTGACCATTTGAAACTCTTGAATTGATACATTGTCTTGAATCGTTCTTCTCCATGGCTCTTTTGATTGCTACTGAAACTGTTGTGTGACTACGTATTTCCGGATTATGATAATGTGACGTCTGAAGAGTGGAAAAGATCGATATAGTACATTTTGGAATCACAACCTGTCAATTTCCTCAGACACTAATAGTCTTCATCTTTGGCTCTCCTGTAATTCTAGGATCAGTTTCAGAAGATTATTTGGAGTACATGTTGTTACAATTCCCCACTAATGTCACTGGATGGATCTGCCACGCATTAGTCACGTCAAGTCTTCTTAAGGCATGTGAATCTAACTCAGGCAGTTAACTTTCCTTGGGGTATGTTGCTAGGAATCAAAACTCCTTACCCACTTGTCTTTCGTTTTTAATTTTTGTATAGCTTGTATTGTATCCTGATTCGCATAACTTTGGGTCCAATGTTTGCTTGTGCTTATTATATTAGCTACTTCGAATGAAATTCTGCAGGGCGTTGGTGTTGGCTACTCTACAGGAACTGCTGCTGCTGCGACAGCTGCTGCAATTAGGTGAATCTATGGTCTACTCAGCTTCTGCAAATGTGGGTCTGGAATATAAGTTTTTAAACATGAGATTCTTTTGTTCTTGTAGATGGGTGTCTAAGGACGGCATTGGAGCTTTGGGTCGCTTGTTCATAGGTTTGGAAATTTGATTGAGGAACTGCTAATTGAAGAAGATATCTTTTTTGGGAATTTATGGTTAAAATCTTTGCTTCATGCCAGGTGGACGATTTGGCAATCTTTTTGATGATGATCCTAAACAATGGCGCATGTATGCGGATTTCATCGGGAGTGCTGGAAGGTTGGTATGATGGCAAACATTTTTGTTTTGTGTTTTTGAAGCATATAATTAATCGAATCGGAAAATGACCTAATCTTTTGAAATTTTATATTATAGCATCTTTGACCTCACCACCCAATTGTATCCAGCCTACTTCCTTCCATTAGCGTCTCTTGGAAATCTGACCAAGGTATTCCCTTCTGTGAGGCCCAAAGTGTTCACTTTAGGAAGCTTTTATTTCAGTTGCTACCATCATGTCCTTAGTTATAGAAATGGAAATGTGACTCTGACATACTTGATTTCTTTATCCTCTTTTAATGAATTGAGGATGTCTACTTATTCTTCTTGAGACTACCATTCACCAGGCTGTAGCAAGGGGGCTCAAAGATCCTTCATCCCGTGTGATCCAAAACCATTTTGCTGCATCTGGAAATCTAGGGGAGGTAGCTGCCAAGGTATATGCTTGTAGTGTCGGCGGATCAACCGTTATGCTATATAATTTCCCATGACTTAATCCTCTGGACTGTTTTTCGAAGGACTTAACCCTCTGAACTGTTGGTGCTTCAGGAAGAAGTCTGGGAAGTAGGCGCTCAGTTGCTTGGACTTGCTGTTGGTATACTGATCCTGGTGTGTTTTCCTATTGCGTTGAAAGTTCTTATAATAATGCTTTCTTCCAAACTGTTAGGCACTTTTCTGCATCAAAGTGGAATGATAGGATTAAGAATGCAGGATACACCCGGACTGGTGAAAACGTTTCCAGCATTGACATTGACGTGGACGAGCATGCGTCTTCTGCATCTGTGGTTTCGGTATCAATCCCTGCTGGTTCTTCGATTTGACACGGTAAACCATCCATTCCATTATCTGTTATTAGAAAGCATAGTATGGTTGGTCATTTTCCCAACGCATCATCATTGGACAATTGTCTTCTCCACAGATAAATCTTAAGCGAGCTCGTCTGCTGGTGAAATCACACATCGAACGCTCTCATGTGCCAGGTAGCTTTCCTGATCTGCTGCAGTGTTCTTTATTGTCGTTAGACAACTTCAGTGAAACAGATACATTTCCCCTCTTCAGGATGCGCTGATTGCAATAAAGAAGAAAACATCTTACTGTGGGAAACATTCACAAAACCGAGAATTACTTTCGGTGTCCCATTGGAAGAGATGATTAGTGGCAAGAAATCCATTTCCGAGGTACCATGTCAATTTCATTTAGTTGACCCATAAAAAGTTGGGGGGTAATATACACGCTCTCAATTTTCCTCCTTCCTGATTACCCTCTGAATAGGTGAAAGCACTTATGAGAGTGTATGAAAAGGAGCAATATCTGCTCATGGTGAACTGGCAAACGAAAGACTTGGAGGTCTTTGTCTCGTTCAAGGTAAAAACACTTGGAGGTGACATGGCAATAATAAGCTGGTGATTTTTTACTGGGGTATCGACAGAGAGAGCATCATTTTGATGAAACATAGAATCTGTCGGCAGGTGGGAGCTACAAGCATGTCGGTACTACGAAGTGTGTGGCAGACATACTGGCTACATGTGAACTGGGAACAACATTCTCTTGATGTTTTTTACCAGCTTGCTAAATCCCACAAGGAGATGGAGACCAATTTTGACAATTTCCTTGAGCAATTGGGTCAAGCCGGATGGGACACAAACCAATTCAATCTGAAGGTCCCCGGCGGAATACTGATCGATGAATCAGGCTTCATTCAATCTTCTCAAGGCCAGGTTTGACTTCCCTCATGGACCTGATAAAAGCTTTGGTAGCACAAGGAAGAAGATTCTAATTAGTACGAGGTGGCAAGAAGCCAAGAACCCAGAGTTGAGTTAGCTTGTCCAACTCTTCAATTCAACTGCCGTCCAATTGTAATAATCTCTTGTCTCTTTCCAAATTATGAAATTTCGTCTGTTCATCTACAATTCGGAATGATTGGTTTCCTTGTGCCAGGGGGTTAACAACCGTTTCTGTTTATCTACTTAACATTTGTGGCTGCGCAGAGAGAGCTTTGCTTTGGGATGACTTGCAGGTTTTTCTGAACTTTGGCGGGTGGTCTTCGTTAAGCTCCTAAAACACACCATCTCAGCGAGAACAGCCGATTCAGCCTCAGGTAATGCAAATTTCATTAGTTTAGTAGTAGTTGCCCTCCAATTGCCAAAATGGTGGTACAATAAAATAATTGATTTTTTCGTTTGGGTTTTGCTTCCAGAATCGCTATTTTTATTTTGTCTCCAACGAAAGCCTCCAAAATACGAGTGAAAATCATGGCCCTCCACTTAGAATGATTTATCCAATCCAATATGATATATTAAATTCCCGCCCTCACTTGTCTAATGAGCTTCTTGATTCATTATTGTGACAAGGAATAACAAGGGTAAATAAAATAATTAGATCCCTGTCCTATTAACGAGCTTGTTTTTTTTTCTTCTTCTTTAACGCGTGTTTAAAATCCCAACTCCTTTTGTTATCTATAAGATATATGATGGAGATTCATGACTCAACTTTCTTCCATTTCAAATTTTCTGCAACGAGAGTGAAAGTAGGAAGGGTACTTTCGTCATTGCAATTGTTTATTTTTTTATTTGAAAAAAATATCAGTGTCAAGATTTGAACCCGGGTCTCTTCTAACAAGGACAAGAGTCATAACCAATAAGACTAAACAAATTTGTTGCATTTATTTATAAAAAAAACATACAAGAGGCAAAATTCTGAAAATCAAATGACTTTTCCAGCACAGTTAGCTACCCCACTAAGTCTTTCTTAAGCATTTTTAGTGTTGGATCTTTGATTATCATTTATTATTATTTTATTTTGACTTCAATAATAATGGTAGTCTATCTTATAAATGGAGGATAATCTTAAAACCGCAATCCAAATATCATTTATTCGAATATTGCATATCAAATTACAATATTAAATATATATGTGCACACACAACCACATATATATGGGTCAGACTGGTGTACTCCTGGAGTATATTATACTTCAGGTACTCTTCGTGAGATATCTCTATCTAGACCATGATTTTTAACCGAGTTTGGGGTATGATACTCTACCCTAACCTCTAATGGATAAACCCCAGGCCCCGATTCTCTAAACTCAAACCCAAAGTTTAATTTAATGGAAAATTATAATTGACCATTGAGATTGATTGGAGCTCAACAAAGTACATCTAATGTCTAGATCATGTGGAGTATACTATACTCTTGGAGTATACCAGTATACTATACTCCTGTAGTATACCAGTATGTGTGTGTGTAGTGTTTTCTATCATATTTTGAGTAAAATCAAAAGGTAACTCATACCCTTGGTAAGAAATGGCAATCTAGACTTTGAATTAACCTGATTTCGAGACGAGACACTATATTCTAACCCTTGACGAGTGAACTCTAGGTCTTAACTATTTAAATCATAGATCCTAAACCAAGGATGATAAAACCTCATCAGAGGTTGTACCGAAAAAGTCGGCGGGAGGGTATTTTATGCGAAAACTGTGGTTAACCGTGATTCAGTCGTTCACAACACTACATAGTGCCTACTGGTTTAGTCGAACCCCCGGTACGTTAAGGGTTTTCAATCCTTGCCCTAAACACTAAGATTATGCACATAATTTTTTGATGTATTTTGATGAAACACGACCTTCGATTATTGTTTCTAATAAAATTGATCTTAGTATATGAGCTTCATAGAATTAAGACCTAGATTTTAATCCGTAAGGGCTTAAGGTATAGTACCATGTCCCTAGCTCCGGCCACTAGACATCATTTTCATACTCAGAGTATATCATTCAAGGTCTATATATCATTTCCTTATGTCATTTTCTTAATCAAAATATGATAGAACCACCCATACTTATAGTTGTGTTATCCTGCTGGAAAGTCATTTGTTCTAAATGTTAGTTGGTTGGACTGCAGTTTTATCAGGGTTGTATGTTGTTTGAAACATTTTGAACTTCATTATTCCAATATTTTTAGTACTCCTATATTATTTAGGGATAATATCCTATTTTGTGTTGAACTTTGATGTAAATAACAATTTTGGCATGAACATTCAAATAAGATAGTTTTGTCCGAATTTGAAAGAAATTAACAAATTTGACCCGAAATTTGGGTCGGTTATTAATATTGAGGGTCAAACATTTCTTTTTTTTATGACTCAACATACAATGTTAAGGTGACTATGGTGTGACTTTCACGTCATAGGTATAATATGCTATTTTGCCCTACACTTTCAAATAAGACAGTTTTGTACGAATTTTCAAAGAAATGAATAACTTTGACCCAAAATTTAGGTTGCCGTTAATATTGATGAGAGGGGTACAAAGAGAGATAGTTTCGTGCTTTGGGATTTTTGGGGGCCTGAATCAATTTATTTTTCCTTTTAATATGATTTATGCAAGTAAATATGAAAATATTAGGATATACTAAGGGTCCTATTTTGTGGTCTTTTTTTCTTCTGAAAAATTCACTTTTTTAGACTTTATAAATAAATGACTTGGAAGCCACATCGCAACCGAAACCTCTCTATCACAACTGTCAATATTAAAGGTCAACCCAAATTTCGGACCAAATTTGTTCATTTCTTTCAAAGTGCAAACAAACCTATCTTATTTGAAAATTCGAGCCAAAATTGTCTTTTACATCAAGTTCATGCCAAAATAAGGTATCATCCCTATGACATGGAAGCCACATCGCAATCGCAACCACCTGAGCATTGTATGTTGAATGGATGAAGAAATTTTTAACTTTTAATATTAACGAACAACATAAATTTCAGTCCAAATTTGTCCATTTCTTTCAAAATTTTGAAAAACTGTCTTATTTGCAAGTTCATGTCAAGTTTGGCTTTTACGACAAACTTCAAGGTCAAAATAAGGTATATCCCTATTATTTATGGTCAACTTACCAATCAAAGTAGTCAGTGAAAGTATCAGCAACACTGACAAAGACAAACATATGTAATTCAAAATTAGTTGCACTCAGCCTTAAGTTTGAAGCTCTCTTGAGAACCCGGACTATTTTCTAGGCATCTTCGGGGACTACGACTAGCATGCTTCCAAACCAGCTGATCCTTATTCTACTTTCTATGAAGAGGAATAATATGGGTGTATCTGTTAGACATTAATTAGGGTTACAAATGATCTCATTCCTAAAATCTGTTAGAGACCAATCTTTTTTCTTTCCTTCTGAGGGTTCATTATGTATGTTTAGGAAAAACAACTCTAATCTTGAACTATTTGCCATTTTTAAGTATTGAAAACCTATTATTTTGTATGTTTTTCTTTTCTTCTTTGAACAATTATATTTCTTTTTTCAGTGATATGTCGTATCTTCCTATTATATTGTAAGCATGTTATATGAACATATTTTTTGTCTAGACTTTCCCGGCCAAGGGGCCGGGCCCGGTGCTAGTTATCTATATAGTATATATTGTCTGCTTTTGGTCTAGTTTGTACGATTTTTTTTATTTATTTTGCATATCATGGTGACTTTCTAAGAATCATTTATTTGCTCCATATTGAGATTGTTTAACTTCAGAGTTTTTGTAAAAACTCTTCCATTTTGACCTTATAATGTGTATTGTCTGTTAAAATTGGATTATTTTCATTAATCGTGAATCTCTCCCGTGCTTTGTCGATGCGAGATTTGCTTAAGGTGTTAAATTATATCCACTTTGCCTACGATATCACTTGAACATCTCAACCCTTTTCTGATCAAGATATTGTTCGTTTTTGGCTGTCCCTCTCATGGTTTTGCTTTTGAGTTGAACTGACAAAGCTGAAATTAACGTGGTCAGAGTAAAGCAGTGCATAGATGGATGATCTTTCGAGAAGTCATGATAAATCATACACTCAAAATAAAAATTGCACCGGGATAGATCCAAACCAAATTAATATCTTGGTTAGAAAAGGTTGAGATGTTACATCTAGTTAATTAATTATGACAAAAGGAAATATTATATTTTTACTATTATTGTAGAAAACGGCTCAATTAGCTAAAACAGTGTATAATTGTCCAGATTGAATGAACCAGTTGACGAATGCGAAGTGGTTAAACAAGGGAATTAATAACTAACTAACCAATCACGGTAACAAGTCGGAGTCGTTTAAATGCAATATTTTGATCTTTCATTTGACACTGAGTGGCATGGTTTATGCAGACGAATCATTACCCCAATCCCTGCAGTACTCCGCTTCCCGGTTGTTCAAAGTTTTATATACTCGATCTATTGATAAAAAAAAAGTTTAATATGAGATAAAATATAACTCCATGCTAGCGCGATTAGCGAATACCCATGATTAAGAATTCGCAAGCAACCGTGAAAGTTTGGGAGTTGCAGATCGTAGGTTTGAATACAAGCGAGGTCCGTTGGTGTTTCCGGAGGTATAAGGTTGTTGGGAGCAAAGTTTTGTTGACGTCGAATTTAATTGCAGGCGACCCTCAAATTTAGTAGAACACGCCGTAACAAAGTTGCTTGAGGTTCGTGGATAATAATAATAAAAAAAATTCGCAGGCAACCATCACCCGCCAGAATAGTAATAAGAAAAATCTCTGAACTAATCAGTATTATTATTATTATTATTATATATAGTTATCTATTAAAAAAATATGATGATGGCTTTTACGTTGTTGTTAGTGGCAAGTAATGCGGTTTAAGTTGACTAATGTCACCAGCGGGTGAAGGATGGGGCCCATGTAGCCCATAATTCACAGAATCACACAGCCCACGTAGCCCGCTCCATCTCCAACCACCGCTGGGAGGTCCCCACTTAAGCGTTGGATGGTGCATGTCCGCCACGCGGCACCGTTAGATTTCCCCCGACTCGCTGAGACACGATCCCCCCTCCTTTTCTTTGCCGTCGGTCCTTCCTTCCTCCACACCCGGCCATGACAGGAAAGGTTTGGCGCGCTCTGGACCGTCACCACCCCAAGTGGCAACCTTTCTCCCCACGCTCTTAATCTCACCGCCCTCCACGTTTGAGGAGGCTCCACTAATGTCACCGTCCGGTCACTGACACTACCCTCAAATATTTTAAGGGAGGAGAATTCGAACCCCAGGCAGTCATGTCAGTTCCCAAACCCTTCCTCAATCCACAATCTTCTAGGCTCTAGCTACTAACAGCGTTGTTGTTGTTATTATTTATTTATTATTATTATTATTAGCGAGAGTGGGAAAAGGAAAAGGAAAAGGAAAAGGAAGCTGTTCCGAGGAAAAAGATTACGTGGGGAGTAAGCGAAACAACAAAAAAAAAAAAAAAAAGGGTTAAATTAGTCATAAACTTGGGTTATCTTTTTTTGAAATCATTGTCGCTACCTTTATTCAATAATCTTATCGTCAAATTGGGGATTCGGGGTGGGTTTTCAATTTTGGGCAGTGAGTAAGAGATTTGGCCTTTCCTTCAATTCTTTTTCTCCCCTAATTCTTATTTTATTTGGAGGGGCTTCCTGGCTGGGTGGGGAGTGGTGGTTGGATTTGGATTGGATTGGATGGGTGATGGTTTTTAGAGGGAGTTAAGCTTCACCCTGTTTTTGGTTGGAGGAAAGGGGAAAAGAAACTCAATTCTCAAGGAACCGAGGGAGGAAGAAATGCGGAAATCGTTTAAGGATTCTCTCAAGGCTCTGGAAGCTGATATTCAGTTCGCCAATACCCTGTATGTGCCCTCAATTCTCTTCCTCATCCATTCTTTTTCTCCTCTGCTTTTTTTCCCTGGGCGAATTGTCTCTGTTTTCTGGTAGCTTGATCTTCTACCTCTCATCCAATTTTCTTTCGCCGCCGTCATAACTTCATCTCACTACCACTCTGGCTGCTTGCCCAAATTCCCAGCTGAAATTGTGCCCCTCCCTAATTCTTGGTTGTGTTCTGTTTTACCGATGAACAGTTGGACGAGAGACTGTTGGGTGGCTTCAACTTTTACTGTTTTCTTCCCTGTAGTCTCTGCTTGTACTAAATTTCTGATTCCACCCACAATTCAGCTTTCTGGGTTCCAGGTTTTTGCAAGAAACTACAATTTCTATTTTGTTTGCCCATGTCGGCTATATTTTTTTTATGGATGATGAAAAATAGAGGGTTCGGCTATATTTTAGGTGGGGTGTAGTTCTAGTTCTAGATCTCTCAGTGATTTGATTCCACCATCAACTCGAGCTGCCAACCTCTTTTTACCCCTTTTTGTCCCTCTTTTGCCCCTTCTCCATCTTTATCCCCGTTTCATGCGGTAGCGTAGAATTGTTCAATTGAGTGGCAGAAATTAGGTTTTGCTCGCTAATCCCAAGTCCCGCTACAAAGTTTTGGGTTGTTTTAAGGGTTCGACTTTCTCCACGTCATTCTAATCAGATCAGAGCACCAGAGTCTTTTTTGACTCGCTAGATTCTTTAATGAAGTACTAGGTTACCCCAGCAGTACCGGAGCAGATGACGACTATCCTGCAAATTTAAGCTCGCCATAACTTTTCAAATTGCCCTGGTTTCTTCAAAGATTTATTCTTTCCGATGATTAGTCGGTTGGGTTCCGTTTTTTTTTTAGAGATGCCTGGAAAAATGGCTGGGTGAACTAGTGGCTGCACATTTCAGTTTTGGATATTCTGTTATGGATGATTAGGGTTTGTCGAGAGCGACCCCTCAAGGACGGGTTGCTTTCTGCTTGTGTAAGATTGTACCTTCAATATCATGCAAGTGGGGTTCTCAATTGTTGGATATTTTGCTTTTGGTCAGGTCCTCTGTTTATCCTGCTGAATACGATGGGGGATGTCTTCAGATGAGGCTATCTTACAGCCCTGCCGCTCACATATTCCTCTTTCTAGTCCAATGGACCGACTGCAATCTCGCCGGAGCCTTGGGGTTGCTCCGAATACTCATCTATAAGGTAATAACTTAGTTGATGCTCTACCTCTGCTCTTGTTTTATGTAATTCAGCTTGTACCTCAAAGCTACAGTTTCTTTCTTCACAGGCTTATGAAGATGGGAAGACAACGATGTCAGTCCAAGAGAGAAAAGCTAGCTTGAAGGAGTTTTACGGTCAGTTCGAGTGAAAAAAAAAAAAAAGATTAAAATGTCTGCTTATGTGATTTATGAGCCTTTTGAGTAAAAGGGGATGGTGTTTGTTTCATGACAGGGGTGATATTTCCTTCTTTGATGCAACTCCAGAGAGGGATTACTGACGTGGACGAGAGGAAACAGAGAGAAATCTGCGCCAAATACAGGAAGAAAGACGAGACGGACAAAGGCAAGCTGACTGAGATTGATCTTGAAAGGGAGGAAGAATGTGGGATATGCATGGAGAACAACACCAAAGTCGTGTTGCCAAAATGCAGCCATTCTCTCTGCCTCGAGTGCTACAGAACCTGGTTAGTACTGAAAATTGCTCTGCCTGTAATAGCTTGAGCCCTCAACTCCTTAAATTGAAGGTTTTTTTGGGCTGTTTCATAGGCGAGCGAGGTCGCAGTCGTGTCCATTCTGCCGGGACAGCCTGAAGAGGGTGAACTCAGGTGATCTGTGGGTCTACACCAGCAACAATGAAGTAGCTGATCTGTCAGCTATAACGAGGGAGAACTTGAAGAGATTGTTCATGTACATCGACAAGCTTCCTCTCATAGTTCCTGATCGAATGGTTGTTTCCTATGATTTAAGGTACCAGTAGCAACAAGTAGGAATTGGGGGAAAGCTGATTGGGAATGGTTTGTTTGTGTACATAAAAATTAGCAGTGTTGGGTTATTTGTGCGTGGTTGCCTATTATTGACGCAACAACCAGTCATTTTTATTCTTCTGTTTGTGGGCTCATTTTTTTGTTCCGGTAGTGTAGAAGTGGGATTCATAGCCTGTAAATAATTAGACCTTCCTCATCTTCAGAAGTGTTGATAGAGTGGAAGCAACGGATGATTCGTTGTTTAATGGTAGCCTTGTTGATATGATTTTAACCTTGACTTGTGCTGATAGTTATGGCTAGGAATGGCATTGGGGAATTCTACCCATTGGGTCGACTTGTTGGTATATGGGCCATATGAGTATTGTGTAGAACTTAAAATGGTTTATGTGCTGATTTGGGTTGGATTTGAATTGAATTCAAATTCAATAAACTCATTTGGGTCAGACTCAGATGGGAGATTGCAAAAAAAAGGTATGGACCATCTCAGTTGTCAGCTTAAACTTTTTTTGTTTCTTGCCATTAAAAAATAGGAGAAAAAAATGCATTCTAACTAGGTGTTCGTTTTCTTTTATGTACCCAATATAAGACCAACTCCAATGCAAGCTCTCAAATTTGGGGATCTTCATCCCCAAATTTGGGGTTTATCCACATTTTTCCTTCTTTTGCTCCAATGCTACATTCTTTATATTTGGAGATCTCCATTTTTTAAGTTTTCCCTTTACTTAAAAAATGTACTTATCGAAGCCTTAATATAATTTGTTCATGTTAATTTTTGTAATAGTTCGTCATCATTTTTAAATATAAATTTTCCGGTAGAATTTTTTTAATTTTGAGACCAAATTTTTGTTGACAAAAAATGATTGACCTAATTTGGGTTTACACACAACACTTGAAAATTATTGATCTAATTAAACCCCTAACTAATCCCCTAATTAAACCCCAATTAACCCTTAAAATCTTAAAAAGAAAAAGAAACGTCACGTGGCGGGCTTTGGGGAGTCTCTATATTTGGGGGAACCCCCATTTCCACGGGAAAAGTTAATCTGCTAACTTGAAAATTCGTTAGCAGATACTAACTGATATCCAAAATATATGAACTAGTATCCAAGTATTAAAGTATCTAGAGAGCATAGACTAGTATTTAAAGTTTGCTAACTGATATCCACCATGCATCAACTATTATCTCAAATTCACAAACTAATATCTTGACAACACAGAATAGTATTCATACAGAACATAATTAGTATTCAGATAACGCATAAAAGTATCCAAATAACACATAAGAGTATCCATATTGAATACTAGTTGGTTGATTGTGGATATTAGTTGGTATATGCTATCTGGATACTAGTTTGTGATGTTTTGAATACTAGTTTGTGCTATCTAGATACTCAACAGACTTGGATACTAGTTCATACATTTTGGATATTAGTTAGTATATACTAACGAATTTTCAAGTTAGCAGAATAACTAGGCTGCATTTCCACCCCCAAATTTGGGGATCATTTTGGAGATCTCCCACAAATATAGAGACTCCTCCATTTATAGAGGCTCCATTGGAGCCAACTTTCCCCCAAATATAAAGGCTCCCCCATTTATAGAGGCTCCATTGGAGTTAGCCTAATAGGTTCAATATAGTTCAAACTATATGATTTTGTCTTAAACTAAAACATCGGGGAAGTGATTTATCAGAAAACTCTCTCTTCTTTTTCTTCTCTAAAACGATATCAAAACCATAGGTGTCAAAACATAGCCCGACCCGATTAACCCGCCCGATAAATCCGACCCGCAACCCGAATTGACTACAAGTAAACAACCCGCAACCCGCCCGACCCGCAACCCAATTGACTCGCAACCCAACTAACCCGCAACCCGACTGACCCGCAACCCGATTAACCCGAACCCGATTGACCCGCAACTCGACTGACCCGCAACCCGATTGACCCGAACCCGACGAACCCGTAACCCGACCGAGTCAACCCGAATTTCATCTAATCCACTTGAATAATTATAAAAATATACAATACATAGTTTTTCAAAATAAAGTTTTTCATTCTAAACTTAAGTAAAATTATTTGTTCATTTCGTATAGAAAATTTAAAAAATATGAAACTCACTTGATATTACGTATTTTAAGAAAATTACAAAAATTGAAACATGAAGGTCACTTGAGATCATGACAATATTAATATAATATATAAATTAAAATTTTGGTTAATTTAACTATTCAATAAAATTATCATTTAAATATAAAGTAAAGTAAAGTAATGTATTTGGTAATTTGATATTTTTAAAAAGAAGAGGGAAATTTTGGTGTATTCAAATTTTTGGGAAGAGAAAGAAGAGGGAAATTTGGTTCTTTGAATTTTTTAGAAAAGAAACAAGTGGGAATTTTGGTGGTTTTGATATGTGGGAAGAGAAAGAAGTGGGAAAGTTTGATTCTTTTAATTATGAAAGAGAAATAAGGAGGGAAACTATTGAGTTTTCAACTTTTTGTAGAAGGAAAGAATAGGGTAATTTGGTTCTTTCAATTTTATGGAAGAGAAAGAGGAGGGAAAATTGAGTTTTCCTAATGTATGGAAGGAGAAAGAAGGAGGGAAATTTTAGTATTTTGTGAAAAGAAAGAAGGAAACATATTTGGTGTTTTCAATTTTTTTGTTTTTCATTAGTTTTAGATTTTGAAATATGAATCTTTAACTTTTTATATGGAGAGCATGACTAGTTAAAATTAATCATATATGCTTTGAAAGTCATTGTCAATATTTAGCACGTTTCAATAACTACCCCATAGGCCAAGTTTAACCTAAAGTGGTGTTGTCATACAGTGGCAATCAAGGTCCACTCGGGTCTCGGTAGCCTAGCCTACTTCCCACGTTTTTGTTATCTGGCCGATTGGTTTAATGGTTTGTGATGGAGAATTCAAGAGAAATAACTAGTAGTGAGAACAAATACAGTATAAAAGCAGGAACTTCAGGGAACTATCCCACACCCTAGCCTCGGTCTACTATGCAATTTCTAAATAAGTTGAGTTTATAAAATGTGGTGAGTGAACTCTTTTATGTAGGCTTTCGTGGTTTTACACACGCCTCCGAGTACGCCTCCCCTAAACACATGTCATTCACCTTGAACTAGGCTATCATATCTGGGACATTAAGAACGTAGCTCATTTTCAATGGGTACTACCCGCCTTCCACACCAAGGTTTCATCCTGGGTTCTGTCTAGGGAGGCATTCCTATGGCAGGGGTACGGTCGCCTCGTCCACCATAAGATCCTATTCATTCATCTAACCTAATTTGTTTGATGACACATACTCGTCTAACCCTAAAACTCCATACCCAACGTAGAAGCTCAAGTAGGCTAGTAAAAAAGATTAGGGTGACATACCCAAACACAATTAAAGCTAGAGAATCAATGAAATTAACTAGATAAACACATTCATTCAAAACCCTAAAATATTCATACATTGCATAATAGTCCTAAAACTAGGATTTGGGGCTTAGAACCCCTAGTACCTTAGAATAATACTCCATATATCAGGGGAAAAGATACATAGAAGAAATTGGGGAAGACTTGATGTTGAGGAAGGTGGCTCCTCTCTTCTGGCTCTTCCTCCTTCTCATCTTCTCCTTCCTTCAGCTTCTCTCTCTTCTCTCTCTAACTAGAAATTTATCTCTCAAAATCAAATCTTCTAAATGGGGGAAGGGGGTCTTCTATTTATAGCCTTCAGAGGATGGACAAGTTCAAGACCAGGCAGTGTGAAGATCACGGTCGCAATCTTCTTCCTTGAGATCGCGATCTGCTGATGACTCCGTTTTGGCCTTCAAATGCGAGGGGTTTGCGGGTTGACTTCACGGTCACGTTCACAAACTTCCTTGCGGTCAGGGTGAACTGTGGCCATGAATCATACTGGTAAAACTCTCTGTTTGTCCTTAGTTGGCTTCTTCATGAAGTTCGTGCCCTAAGCCTCTAGATTGGCGGCCGCGATCTTCACCTTGAGTTCGCAGTCTGTGTTCTCGGCCGTGATCTCCATCTCCTAGCCATGATCATCAACCTTCTGTCCATTTTGCTACACTTGTGCCACTTTTTGTACCTAATTCGCATGTATTGTCTAAAGCACCCTAAATTCACACCATAATCAAATAGGAACGGAATAGGGATGCAATTGACGTTATTCTAATGATTATGCACATGAATTAGCACAAAACAAACCTAAATATGAAGGTTAAGTTACACCAATTTGGGTGTTATCGTAAGGACAAAATGATCTGTGTTTCACGAGATGGAGTTCTCTTTCTCTTACTCGAGTCTTCTTGTGCGAAGGTTGGGGTGAACTATATGTAGATTGATTAGGAAGTATTTACAATCCTTCCCATGTAAGTATTTTGAAGAGTTTTTGTATTAAGACAATCTTGCCATGCTGCTTTACACTTCTCGTTTCCGGTTTATACGCAGAAGGGGGTTTATTCTGCTTTGTACGTTGGTACTTAGCAAGCTTTGATCAAGCAAGAGCAGTTTTTAGCTCTTTTTCCTCAATCGTGCGGAGGTTCGATGAATTCAAGGGGTTTCAGAAGGTTTATTCGTGCCCTTGAAAACACATCCTCAAGTTGACAGTGATATCATAAGGGTGGAAATTTCACTTGTACTAAAAAGAAACTAGCATCATCTCGTAGGCCTACCCCACCAAGACTCAACTAGTATCTCTTCCAAAATCATTTTTTTCCCAGGATAGGACACCTCACACTTGGATTTTACCCCACACTTTATTTGCAGTGGCATTCATTTGATTTAGACTTCACATGGTAGGACTTCAAATGTACGAAGCTACATATCGACCTCATTTTGCTTTAAGCATAAAAGACTCAATCCTATGAGGAGGGTTTTGGGAAATTGAAAAGGATGGTAGGAAGCACCAATTCATACGTTTTTCTGACAGATTAACAATTCGAAGTATGATGAACTTCAAATTTGCATTGGGGGTGCAGCATTACTCAAAAAATTTGAAATTTGAATGCACAAATGTGCACACAAAACCCTTCCCCAAATGCATGAATATTCACACAAACATGGTATATATCATGAAGAACAATCTACCTAAATCTCACGCCACACATTAAATGGGACAATGTCCTCATTGGAACAAGCAAGCAGTAGAGAGGAAAGTAGATTGAAGTTACCTGATGTGTAAAACTCCAAGCAAATTAGCCATTTCCTTTGATGATTAGCTTCACGAACAACGAAAAAGTGTAAAACGGAGAGAGCAAGTGTGTTATTTCCTCCTTTATGGCAAAACCTAAGAGGTTTGCGTAAGTAGCTCTCTTAAGGTAATCCAAATCAATAATGAGAGAAGAGCCTTCAATGGTAGGCGACA